TTAATACTGTCCTGTGGAACAGCTCTGGTCACACCTGTGGTGAATCACTACCTGGAGATAAAAATAGTTTGAATACTGTATGAAGGACATTAGTATATAAAATATATAACAACGTTTTCATCTAAATTCATTTGGTTTGAAGAGCTCCACACTGGTCTACTGAAACCTTTTAGCTTTTAAGGGTTCATTAATGTAATAATAGCATTTTTTAAATATGTAATAACACCACATTATGTAGTAACTAGACAAAATGTAATACATTTTCACTTCATTATGCAATAACATTTTACATTTATAACAATCTGCCACATTTTGTAATAAATTATTACATATTATGGTGGCTATTACAAAATGTGGGAGTTGTGCTTTTTATGAACTGCATTTTAAATGAGCTAAAGCTTTTTGATGGTGTTTTAGAGTCAACCCTGCTAGAAATAATGGTGTGAATGAGTTTCAGCATTTTACATTAAGTCCCTGAGTTTTGGCTGAGATTATAACAAGCTGATCTTGTTACTGCTTTTATGTGGCAGTTTAGACTAAGAGTCAACCATAATATAATTAGTCATAATAAAGTTAAAATATGTATATAACTACAATATAATATGTATAATATACTATACATTGATGCCATAACAATATTACGTAAATGTAGGAATAGACAAAGTGACACAGTTGCTATAATGACTCAGTTACACCCGACGGGGCAGCCTCTTAACCCATCTACTTCTGAACCCCCCATGACTCAGGATGGACATATTTCCCATGAGGCAATGGTTCAGCTGTCTGAGAGTGGGTGAATGTTTCTGGGGAGTGGGTAGGGGTGGGGTTTGAAGTGTGGATATTGCATTTCATGTTCCAGAATGAAGCCCATCGCTCCACACCGAGCACCCGGCCTATAAATAACCTGCCAGTTGGAGCTTAGTTGAAGGGTCAGGACAGCTGAGGAAGTAGGCCGTCCTGGGGTTCAGCTGGTGTGGGCTAATACCAGACTGACTGTGCCTCTGAATCCTCTTTCCAGGCTAGAAACTAGAACTGCTCTGCTATAAAGAAGATCCACTTGTTTGACTTGAAGCCCCTGAAAGGCTCTTCAAACTCCCCCCCGGCCAGGAACGATGGCTCTACCAATAAACCCCATGGACGAATCCAGGATGTACCAGCAGACGTTGCTCCAGGACGGCCTGTACGAACTGCTGGAGAATGACAAGCTGGTGGACTGTGTGCTGAAGATCAAAGACAAGGAGTTCCCCTGTCACCGGTTGGTCTTGTGTGCCTGCAGCTCGTACTTCCGCTCCATCTTTCTGTCCGACCTGGACGAGAGCAAAAAGAGAGAGATTGTCTTGGAGGATGTCGAGCCGGGTGTTATGGGGCTGATCCTCAAGTACCTGTACACCTCCAAAATCAATGTGACAGAGCAGAACGTCCAGGACATCTTCGCAGTGGCTAATATATACCAGATCCCTTCAATTTTCACTGTTTGTGTGTCTTTCCTACAAAAGCGCCTGAGCCTCAGCAACTGCCTGGCTATCTTCAGGCTCGGCCTGATGCTGGACTGTCCCAGGTTGGCTGTCTCAGCTCGAAACTACGCCTGCGAGCGCTTCCAGCTCATCTCCAGAGATGAGGACTTCCTCCAGCTGCTCCCCAGTGAGCTGGCAGCCATTTTATCAAACGACAAGTTGAACGTAGAGACAGAGGAGGCAGTGTTTGAGGCTTTGATGAACTGGGTGTCCCGGGACACTGAGAGCAGAGAGAAAGAGCTGCCAGGTTTGCTGGATTGTGTTCGTTTGCGTCTGGTCAGCGAGGACTACCTGAAGGAGAAAGTGGAGAAACACAAACTGATCTCTTCAAATCCTGAGTTGCAGCAGAAAATCCAGCTGGTGAGGGATGCTCAGGCTGGGAAAATGCCGGAGGTTAAAAAAAGCAAAAGCAAGAAGGAGGACGGTGGAGCAGAGAAAGATGGGGAGAATGAGGAGGAAGAGGAAGACGAAGGTCTTCTTCCAGGAATCCTGAATGACATCCTGCGGTTTGGCATGTTTAGCAGGAACTTGATACTGATGGTGAACGACACAGGTGCTGTGGCTTACGATCCGGCAGGGAACGACTGCTTTGTAGCATCACTTTCCACACAGGTTCCTAAGAACCACGTCAGCCTGGTCACCAAGGAGAACCAGATCTTTGTGGCTGGAGGATTATTCTTTGATGAACAGAACAAAGAAGACCCACTGTGCTCTTATTTCCTACAGGTAGGCAAAGCTATAGATAAAAAAAAAAACTGATTTCAAGTCTGTTGCTTATATACTTGAGTCTTTGAAATCCTGCAGCACTTCTGCCAAAGATTAAACAAGTAATAAATATTTGTTTTACCTTCATCGTTTCTACTGAAAGACACTCATTATTTGTGTTATGTCACAACTTTTAAAACCTACCCACCAGTATTTTACTCAAAATTGATGCTAAGCAGCCAAATTGTGTTTAAATGCACAAAACTTTATTTTACATTCTTCTACATTTGGGGTGAATTTTGGAAAAATGTGTATAAAATGATTAATATTTTGTGTTTGGGGTTTAATTATTTCACTGTAATGTAAAATAGCTTCAATGAAGAGCTGGAACAAGCTGAAACAGACTATATGTAGCCTATGTACCTGATAGTCTGTAAAAATACATTTTATTAATACTTGTAGTTAAATAAGGTGAAATACAAAAGTGAAGAACTGGATGTGTTTGTGTCTGTCTGCATGTGCACGTTACATACAGTATAGATACTTAATTTGACATAAATGCGACCCATTCACTAATGTTTGACTCCCGTGACCTCAGTATGACCCAGTCAGTGCCGATTGGCTGGGGATGCCTCCCCTCCCGTCCCCCCGCTTCCTGTTTGGGCTGGCAGAGGCTGAGAACGCCATCTTTGTGTTGGGAGGGAGGGAGCTGAAGGAAGAGGAGTGCACACTGGACTCTGTTTTAATCTACGACAGACAGTGAGTACAAGTTAAAATGAATGTAAATTACTAAATGGACTGCTGCTCTCAGGACTGAATCCTAATTAATTCCCTGTGGTTTCTCATTCACAGATCTTTTAAATGGGGTGAATCAGAGCCAATTCCTTATCCAGTATATGGACATGCAACCATATCCCACAATGATGTTGTTTATGTGATTGGAGGAAAGGGAGACGACAAGTGAGTATCAAGTGTGTCAATCATTTAAAACCCATCTGTGGCAACGTTGACCTTTTGACCCTTATTAGTTTATGTGTGTCTCTTGTGTAAAGGAGCTGTCTGAGGAAGATGTGCGCATTTGACGTCAAGAGATTTGAATGGAAGGAGCTTGCACCCCTAAAGACAGCACGCACTTTATTAGGAGCCACTGTTCATAAGGACAAAATATATGTGGCAGGAGGAGTCACCGACACTGGGCTGACAGACTCTGTGGAGGTGTACGACATCGCCACCAACAAGTGAGTTCCTTGAAATCAGCGAATAAGGCTGACAAACGTGAATGTGGGTGACACGTACAGTTTCTGGCCCGAGGCATGTGCAAAATAAGTGGCTGCTTGGGGCATGAAGTCACCAGGGGACCATAAAATTACAATTACAAATGGGATTTTTTTGGGTTGTTTTTTATGCAGTAGAAGAAATCACACTGAGGAAATATTGTTTATTGACCAGGGTATTGCATTTTCCAATCTTTTTCAGTGAATTAAACTGTAGTTTACTTGTTGTTCTTCACAATTTTAGATTATTAAATTAATTCATAAGCATTTGTTTCTTCAGGGGAAACATCAAAGTGACAATAATCTTATTTAAAACAGTAATTTTAGATTAAAATTAAACCACCTCTAGAAGTGTATTACACCTTACTGAAGTGTGTGTGTTTACATTTTTCAGGTGGTCAGACTTTGTAGCGTTTCCCCAGGAGCGTAGCTCTCTGAACCTGGTGTCTTTGGCCGATACGCTGTACGCTGTAGGAGGTTTTGCCATGATGCCTTTGGAGGACAGTGAAGAGATCGTTCCCAAAGAGATGAACGACATCTGGAGGTGGGTCATAATAACAAGACAGTTTCTTTTCATTAATCATCCACAATGGTGTCATGTTATTTTCAGGCAGAAATCATACTAACCATTTGCTCTGTAATGTTAATTTAGCCAACAAAATTGTATATTATTACGCCCAGCTGCACTGTTGATTGCTATTCTTTTACAGCAAGTTTTACCTTTCATGACCAAAGTCTGTTAATCTCCTCAGGTTTGATGAGACAGAGAAGAAGTGGACTGGGATCCTCAGAGAGATCAAATATGCTTCAGGGTCCACCATTCTGGGGGTCCGTCTAAATACCTTGCGTCTGAACAAGATGTAAAACCCCTTCCAGTCTCTGCTTGTTAAAGGAACAGTGTGTAGGATTTAGTGGCGGACTCAAATAAACACAGCTCATTCTAGGGTAACAAAAACACAACATTCATATTTTCAGTTGATTATACACAAATGAAAACACACCTTTGAATATTATATTCCATTTCTGCCATTAGAGCCTCCTAAATGTTACACACTGGACCTTTAACAGAAATCTGTGCTTGTTTAAGAGTCCAACCTGGAAAAAATCTGCTGAATGTGTTTGTTTTATTTTACACTACGCTGTAGCAGCTCTAATTATTTAACCGATTGGAACTAACTTCATCTTGGACAATCTTTTTTTGATTGAAGACATTTTTATATATGTGTGTTTCAGTGATTTTAATCTGATTGAGATTGTGAAACTGTAAACAGTCTGTAGCCTGCTGACATTTTATTTTTTTTTGCACTGTATGGAATAAAATTAAAAAGTATTTGACACCAGAAACTGTCTCGATAATCATGAAAAATGTGTTGAAGATGTGGATTTCCCAAAAGATGGTAGCAAAGTCATAACCTAGGTGCTTCAGAGAGCATTACTCGGACATGATACGGTTATAAAACGATTTCAGTTCCTCCGCGCAGAAACAAAAACACATCACAGATCTCCATTTGCAATAATATATCTATACTGTTTAATATTGAAATGATTTCATTACGCTCTGCTGTGTTACAGACAGTAAACACTAGTCAATAATACAATAAAAGACAGAAAATACAGTCTAATGTTATTAGCACCTCTAGACACTATTGGCCTTGTACGGTTTTAAGTATTTTAATATAGCTGAACTTGACAACTACTGCCTACACATGGTCTTTGTACACCAGAGTTAACTAAGACATAGTGTTTACATTACAAGGTAGAGAATCAGCAAAGAACAGTACACATTATGATTTCTTTAACACAACTGCAGTATGAGTAAGTATGGGAAATGCAGAGGGTATGTGAATAAAACTTCCTTGAATTGACTATGGCATTGGTGCCTATCTTTATTATCACATTTATTTTTGCCCAAAAAAGGGGAGAAGTCACCATCGAACAAATGTAATATAACAGCAAACCAAACTTTCACATACAAAATAACCACCAAACACTTGTTTTCCAATTTTATATTCTACTTTCTATGGAGCCCAAAACTGACAAAATGAAGATTAGTGTCAAAACATACACTAAATAATATGGTAACTTATGAAAATTGAATTTTTATTTTTAGATTTATTGTCTCTTTTTTTTCCAAACAAACTAAACTAAAACACTAAAAGTAGTTTTTTTGTACCAGCTGGTTGCATCATTTGTCTATAAAATGTCAGAAAACTGTCTAAATGTATTTTGTCCGACCAACAGTCTAACAGAGAAATCCAGTTAACTTAATCAACTCAATCAAAACGGACACATTGTTTTCCAAAGAATGTGATAAAAGTTAAAATAGTCTATTTCTTTTGCACTGTACTAGAAGGGAACCAGAAATAATTCAGATTTGAGAAGCTGAAACCTACATTCTATTTAAAAAAAAAAAAGATTAATTGATCAAAGTAGTTATATTAATTTTCTAACTAACTGACTAATTGTTGTACCTCTACTATTTAATCTCCATTTTCATAACTTAACTAACAATTTTATTAACTGAGCTTTTGTCAGTTTTGGGTCTCCATAAGTTTCCACCCACAATATAGGTAGATAAAAAAAATAAATGACATTATAAAAAAAAAGAGAGAGAGAGAGAGAGAGACTTTTTTCTTTTTCAAAAAAGTAACACATTTCTTTAAATTCTTACAGACATACAATTCTTTCTCTCCAATATCGCCAATAAAATTCCCAACACTTTTCTTGAAGCTGAAGGCCACACAATCCAATCCTTTTGGATATATACTTTGCCTCAAGCAGCTAAACCCGAAACTAGAAGTCCCAGTAGAGACCCAACTTGGCAATCCCATGAGCACTTTCTGCTTTGTACCAACTGCAACGTTCAATGCTTCATTATGTGACAAACATTTTACTTGGGTGCAATGCAGAATGCACAGTCACTGTGGTGTCTAGGCACCCACTCAGTCACTGACAAACCCTCGATTAAGGACAAGGGCAGGTCCTGCTTTGCCTAATCTAATACAAGCCTTTGGCTGCTAGCCTTAGTAAAAGGAGAATTTGGCTAATTAAAAGACATAAAGCCTTGCCTATAATATAGGACTCTTAAACATTGTGCAAAATTTCTCTTCTCAGTTTCTAGAATCTCAACTTTACTGCCATTTACCTTTACATGAAGTTCCCGCCATTAGATTAAAAAAAGATTACACTTTAAAAAATGACTTGTTATATATTTTTTTATGTTATTTTGGGGCTCATAAATGTCTCTCTTTCATTCGGTACATTTTCAATGTACAGCTTGATTAAGTGTTGCTTTGTCACAGACGTGGGTTCAGTCTTGTTTGCAGATTGTTTCAGGTAAGATTTGTTCACTAAATAATCCAAGACAAAAGGATTAACATTTCAATTTTACTTTCTAGGTCAGATTTAGACTTTTGTAGCCAAATCGCTCTCTATACTTTCTCCAAATGCTGTGTCATGAATTATATACAGTATATTATATAGTGATATAAGAGGGGTAAAACAGATATATTTTATATAGTTTTTTACAATTCACCAAGTAATTTGATACATTTTTGGCATCAGATCATCTGCTCTGTGTCCTTCCCCTCCACAATGATCAATATGATACAGTTTGATTTATCATAACAGCAATTAATTACTACAGAACTGGTTAGGAAGCCTGTAACTTAAGTAGATCCCAGTATAATATTTCCAAGCAGGTACATACAGAAGGACTTATTTCTGCAGGGTCTGAACAAACCTTTGGTCTAAACAAAATGTTGTTTCAGAGGACTGAACACCTGCCAAGAACACATTTCTGGCCGAGACTGCATTTTTGAAATTTCTTATAATTTTATGCCATGGAAAAAAAAAAAAAAACACCTGCCGTCAGCAAATAACTGCAACTGTATCAGCCTTCAAACCCTGCAGCTGAACTGGAGTATAAAGTGCTCAAATAATTAATATCTTTCTCATTACTTAATTTGGCAACTGACACCTTCCTTTACATTTTCTCACGGCCTGAAATATATAACAGTCACATTTTAAAAGCTCATAGGCGGAAACCGGTACGCTAAAACTAATTTCTCTTGAGTATGTCAGTAATCGGACATTACCAACCAATCAGAAACCCTCATGGGAGAGTCACAAATACTTGTAAAACAGGCAGACTGAAACACAGAAACACCAGTTTAGCTGCACTGACTCCTCACGGCGGAGATAATCCTCAGTGTGCAGGATGCCACAACACGGCAAATAAGTTATTGAAGGAAATAAAACACAGGTCAGGCGTCAGTCTGCCACTTACTACCCACAAACTCTGATCAAATTTGAACAAAAAACACAAATAAATTGACTGTAATTTGTAGATTTTGTTAATCATTTATGAGCATCAATATCCACACAATACATTTTAAATGTAAAGTGTATGCCTTTGGATTTAAATAGTGGAAATAATTAGTACACATCTCTGCTAGCTAACTCTTCACCTTGTATCTGCATACATGTTCCCCATTATGGGCTAGTGTGGCAATCAAATTCAAAGTGCATAAATCAGTAGTATTAACTACTATCCCTCCTCAGCTACCATCATCCATAACACAGAAACCTTCAAATCCCTCCAAGTATAAGGCGAATACACAAGCTATAACCACAGTATCTCATTATTGTCTCTTGGGCTAGTGCTTCTCAAAACAGTGAAGTGGGAAAAATACTTTAATATTTTTAATGTAAGGGGGGCTTTCCTCTTTATTTAGTGTAGGATTGCTAACAGAGTGCAGTTTACTGAGATACCACAAGAGAGCAACAGTCTTTATGTTTGTGTGACACTGACAGGTTGCCTTTAGTCCGACCCCCATCTACCAATGACCAGATCAAACCTTAGATGGGTATAAAATGTTGGCAGTAACCTCATCAAACTGCTCCCCAAATCTCTAAATTGTAGCTCGTTTCTGACCCTGGAGCTCAACTGTCCAGTAAGGCTAAATTGGATTCATCACAGCCAGAATATATTCAACAATTTAACAGCTCTAGACTTTTCATTTAAAGGGCAGTCTCAAACTGGACCCTGTACAAAAGCAGCAAAACAAAGTACAAAACATGTGTTAGACACATGAAGAAAAAAAAAAAAGATAAAAGTACCATTTTCAAATAGCATCTGACGTGGCCCAAACTGTTTTAACCGTGGCAGTTTAAGAAACACATGTAACTGGGGCGAACTAAGACATAAGACAACACTAAGGTGCTTAAAATGTGTCTTTTAAATAAAACAATGAACAGCTTATTACACTTACAAAAGCTTATCCACAAATTCAAACTTTCTGTAGTACCAGCCAAGACACATGTGGGGGGCACATTCAACTGACTCTCCAAATGTAAACATGAGGAATTAATCACGAGGAAGAAACACATCTTAACAATATTTACAGGTTAATGCTACACTACGAGTCGGCTATCTATAGATAAAGTGAGCAGGAGTGCATCGACAGTGCACAGAGACTCTTTTTGGATAATTAACTGATTGAAATGTCAGATTTTAAAGGAATATTTGGATATTTTGGGAAGAAGATTAGAAAATTCTCACTTCTGTCATATCTGTCCATTTAATATGAATATACAGTCGGCTGGTTTAGCTTAGCTTAGCATAAAGATTGGAAACAGTTCATTATTGGGCTCCTCCAAAGCGTTATAACACCCAGTAAAAACGATAAATTATTGTTTTTAAACTTCGGTTTTTACTCGAATAAAACAAACAAGATTTAAACGTATTAATTAAAGAGATTTAGGTGCTGGTAGATGACTTTTTCTAACCTTCAGACAGAGGCATGCTAGCCGTTTCCTTCCATTTCCAGTCTTTATTCTAAGCTAAACTAACCAGCCGCTAGCTTCAAATGTATTAATTCATCAATCTTCTCATCTAACGCTCGGCAAGACATCGAATAAGTGCATTTTCCCCAAAATGTCAAGATATTCCTTCAAGAGAAGAACTTTTTACTGACACGGATTCTTTCAGTTCTCCTCCGGTCGGGTCACGTCGAACAACCGCTAACAGTGCGTGTAGAGCCACACGCTCTGTATTACATACTGCATGTCTCTAACTTTGAGCTTCTACAGATCACCGTTATAAGAAACGGACTAGTTTATAATAGTGATGTTATCATAAGGAGCCCTTTTAGTGATCCGCTCTGTTGTGCCAAAAGTAATCACTGTCAGTGCTCTTTGAGAGATTTAGGCATTGGAATATAATGTTTATCATTTCACAATATACATCTTGATGAAGTGTGCACACTTAATGAGCTACATAAGCAGGTTTTTGTGAATATTATTATCCCTACACTCTTGGTAACTAATTACATAGATCGGGTTTTAGTTGGAAAATGAGCTGTAAGTTAACATTAACATTAGATTTTTAAAACCTACACATATACCGTAGGTCTGGGTACATTAGGGTTTTACTAACAAGTCACAGAAAAGTGCGATATTGTCTCAAAGCCAGATCTACAGGAGAGGAGCGTGCTTGCTTAATGTAAGCAAAAGATGAGAGTCAACAAATTACTCCGACTCCTGACTCAGGGGAAGCTCAAGCATTGACGTTAACGTAGATCTGAAAATCCTCATCTCCCGTCTCTGCTTCACGTCTCACACGCGCTCACACGCGCTCACACACACACACACACACACACACACACACACACACACACACACACGCACACACAGTCACAAACACCACACTGCATTGCACGGTTGACTCTCCACGCGTCACAACTTCTCTTACGTCCAGACAAAATGACGTAACGTGCCACGAATTACACACTACAACAATTATAAAAATGAAGACAATTAGGAGTACATTTTAAATATCACTAGAGTTAAATGTAAGGTGCAGGATCGATTATAAATGCTGAATAACATTTTCTAACTATAGCGGGTGAGCTTACAGGATTTGGTTATTGGCAATGCCATATACATGTATATGCTCAAAGACAAATCAGCATTTGGTTATTGCTGGGTCAAACCAGAACCACTCGCTACATATTGGCAGAGAACGACCAAAAATAAAACATTTTTTTTCTCACCATAGTGTGGTTCTCACTCGACCGATGACCCCTAGTATGAGCGAAGATTTAGGAAACCTCTTCCTCCCACTTTGTAAAAGATGCTACAATCAATGCATTGTGCAAGGCTCTGGAGAGAGATGTGTGTGGTAGTGGAAAATCCCAAATGAAACCAGAACAGAGTTGTGAAATTCATGAGGAGAAGCGTGGTGACAACACGTCCTACTGGACTCTGAGGTTATCTATTGTATTTAACAGAGTAAAAAATAACTATTTCTTATTGTGGTAGTTGTATGTGTGTGTGTGTTGTTTTTTTTCATGAGGCCTCCATGTAGCCTTCAGTCAGTTTTTCCCCTCAATGTAAATGTCACTGAGGTGCATCGCTCTCCTGCTGCAGGAGTCCTCTTAAAAGCTCTAAGAAAAACAAAACAAAAAGTAACAAAAGTGCTTTCGATGCTACGGAGATTTGTTAGTTGTTGGAGTTCATCCTACCGGCAGAGAACAGAGGAGGCGGTGGGGGTAAATGAGTGGTGGGAGGCAGCCCCCCCATGGAGTGCAGCAGGGGGAGAGACAGCTGGGTTCCATGGAGGGGGTGTGGGCTAGAGGCAGCAGCGGGTGTGGTCACAGACGTGGCGGGGAGTGTCGCCCCCAGCTGCACCTGACCGGAAGAGTCCACGGCGGGCGAGGCCAGAGGCTGTTCGAGGCCGAGGGGGTTGTTACTGTCGGCGACCATGGGGTTGCTGACGCGGAAGCATTTCTCCCTGTGGGCCTTGAGCATGTTGGAGAAGCGGAAGCGCTGGCCGCACACCTCACAGGGGTAGGGCTTCTCCCCGGTGTGGGTGCGGCGGTGGCGCTTCATGTTGGGCCGGCTCGTGAAGCTCTTCCCACAGATCTCACAGATGTACGGCTTCTCTCCTGCACAAAGAGGGACATCAATGTAGATAAAATGTGCAATGTAATGTAAAAGAGACCCACAGAAAATAATCACCCGACTCTGCAGTTCCGCTCAGTTTAATGGAGCTTTTTAGCGTCTTTTAGCTTATTGTTTTGTTTTGCTCACCACTGCTTTGATTCACTGCTCTCATACTATCATAAAGTCCTAGAAAACCAACTGTGCGCTACCTGCACGACACTAAATGACAGACAGACAAAGGTAGTAACAAGCAGAAGCTAAAGAGCCAGATATATCACTCAGGAGTGATATATTGTGAATATTGAATATTGGACTTAAATTAATCAGGTGCTACTGGATGTGTAAATAAATAGTTTGCTGTTTGCTAAACAGTTTGCAATATCATCTTAAAAGTTACCCTGCAGAGTTTTTAAACTAGTTGCATCTTTAAAAATGGGATAAGAAGAAGACGAAGAAGATATACTTTATTGATCCCCTAGGGGAAATTGTTCTTTTCACTCTTTTTATATACACACACACATACACAGGCTGAAATGCACACTTCATGCACTTGTGGACATGCAAAGGGGAGAGAGATGTTGAAGTGATGGGCGGCAATGTTAAAAGCACCATGAGCAAACCATGAGCAGGTTTTGGGGTTAGGTTGCCACACTCCATATTTTGTGGTGTATGGGACTTGAACTCCCAAGCCAAGTCCCTACACACTGAGCTAGTGCCACCCCTAAAGAATCAATGTCATGTTTCATTGGCCAAAAAATCAGTTAAAGCTGGTTTTGAACATGTCGTTCTTCTGTGATTCGGTATCAAAACACCCTTGAAAATCATCAGAAGTAGCGCAAGAAGTGACTCACCAGTGTGTGTCTTCATGTGTTCATCAAAGTACTGCTTCATGTTAAAGTCCTTTCCGCACCACTGGCACATGAACTGCTTGTGTCCGATGTGGATACTCATGTGGGAACGCAGCTGGTATTTGTACTGGAAGCGCTCGCTGCAGTTCTGAAATGGCACACAGTGAACATTTTATACAAAGTTTTCACGATCATAAATAGTTTCATAAAAGATAGTCACAAGAGGAGTACTCGATGGGTTTTATTCAGTTCCTTTTGTGGGAAACGCAGTGCTACATTAAACTACCCCCACAAAAATAAAAACTCACGTCAATCACAAATTTAATTCAAATCTCAGCTGTGAGAAACTGCGTGCATGTAAAACACATTGAGACAGATTTCAGTAATAAAATCAAAAGTATTTATTGTGCATTATAAAACCTATTATGGGTATTACACATGTTGAGTTATGTAACTTCAAATATGAGAGTAGGTCCAATTTTACAAGCAGCCAAACTGAAAATGTATATGATATTATCTTAAAATATAAAATTGTCTGAAAACAAAAGATTATTTGAAAGTCTTAGCCTTAACGGAATACTTTTGGGAAATACGCTTTCTTGCCTAGCATTGGATGAGAAGATTGATATCATCCTCATGTATGGTAAAGCTACAGCGAGCAGCAGGTAACTTAACTTGGGCCAGGCTAGCAGTTTCCCCCTGTTTCCAGTTTTTATGCTAAGCTAAGCTAACCCTCGCCTGGCTACACTTATTCCATATTTATTACTTGTTTTACACAAGATCAATCTTCTCGTCAAACTATCGGCAAGAAAGAAAATGCGTGTCGTTGGGTCATTAATGTTTATGATTTGGTAATTCTAATAATTTACTGTTTGGATCCAGCTCATCTGGATTCCTTGACAATAACAGAGTATTTTATAATATAAATTATAACTTCTAGAAACCAATAATTTAAAAAAATATTAGAGGTTTTAAATGGTGGATATCTCAGTTGGAATAAAACTCTTCATGTGAGTAAAGTGGAGAGCAGCAGCGTATAAATGGAGCTCAAACCTCACACTTGAAGGGTTTCTCTCCCGAGTGCTGCAGAGAGTGAACCTTCAGGGACATGCTGCGCTTGAATGACTTCCCGCACGTCTCACAGGTGAACGGCATGTCCTTCGTGTGGGCTGAACAGACACACACACACACACACACACACACACACACACACACACACACACACACACACACACACACACACACACACACACACACACACACACACACACACACACACACACACACACACACACACACACACACACACACACACACACGATAAGTTAATGGTATTCTATATTGAGCCGCTCTTGATTGAATAGCAGAAGGAGGACAAACAAGCAAACTGCTACTCTAAAATAGCACTTAAGGATCAACACTGAGATGCTTTTTCATTGGCTAATTACAATGCTTAGGACAATGGATGTGTTTCATTTAGTAAATAAGCTATTTCCTCTCAAGTTTCCATCAAACTCTCAAGTCAATCTTTAAGTAAGAAGGATGTACGGTACTTTATACAAGCCCTTTATTCTAAAGCTGAAACACAGATTCACACTGGGAATGAGGTAAGCCTGTCTAGGGAAAAATAAGATGCTTATCTCCCAAAAAGTGGAAGAGGAAAGCAACACCCAAAACAAATCCTGCACAACAATCAGTGGGATGTAGAAAAGGAAGCCTAGAATAACAAACTTGAACAAAGCGACCAACCAGGATCGCTGGTTTCACTGCCACTCACCGACCATGTGCTTCCTGACATGAGCCATGGTGTAAAACTTCTTCTCACAGATCTCGCAGGAGAACTTCTTCTCGGCGTAGCCATGGACGATCTTGTTGTGCTCGTGTAACGACCACAGCTTTTTGAAGGCCTTGCCACATGTTACACACTTAAACAAGAAGAGGAAGGCAAAATATAGTTATTACTGGAGCTATTTTGGGTATGAGATATTAAGAAGATCATTATCTGGAACAGTCTTTACAAACACAATCCAGGTGTGTGAGTTTATACAGATACTTGAGTGTTCACTGTACCAAAAAAGCAATTAGAGTCAGTAGATTAAAGCAGCAAATGATCTTCAAAACCACAGCAGGAGTCCAGCTGCTCACTGCAGAGTGGGTAATATTGGAGCTACTGAGACATATCAGAATTTATTATTACAGACTGCCAGTTGACTGAGTTACTGACTCTGATCAGTGTTAATATATCTACATGATTGCAACTGTGCATTTCCTAATTAGTGACTAAATAATACTTTAAAAAGGGAAACTACAACAATAACAAATGGCATAGGCTTGGTTACATAGTGACTGCTCACAGGTATACCTGGAGAACTGTTCTAGCTGGTGTTATGAAGCTAGAAAGTTAAGTGGCTGTAAACCATTCATCTTTTGTGGAGCAGTTTATACTATAAAGAGGAGGGTTAAATAAAAGTGGTATATCACAGCTAATAAACTACAATAGTGTTCTCCATCTTTCTCCATCTTGTCTTTGGCACTTCGTCCACCGACGTTAAAACATAAAATAAAAATTGCATGGATTTACTTATATTTACTGATAAGCAACTATTCCCTTGAAATCAATTGGTTTTGCTGTGAAATTTGCCGTTCTAAATGCTGCTGGGAGAACTAAACTAGTGTTTTAGTAAGAGGGGGGGGTGTCTTTCATCATAATCATGGCTGAATTATACCTGGATGCTCTTCTCACAGTCGGTCTGTTGGTGCAGCAGCAGCTCGCTCTCCAGCAGGAAGCGTTTCCCACAGTTATTGCAGATCTGCATGCGGTTGTGAGTGACGTTCATGTGTTTTTCCAGGTACCAGCGGTTGTTGAAGACGCGAGGGCATTTCTTACATGAGAAATGTTGCTTCTCCTCTAGCCTCACTTTCTGGCCCAGGCCCTCTGCGTCCAGCGTCCTCTTCCCGCCCTGTCGCTGGTTGGCCAGCGTGGCCTCTGTGAGTGTCTGCCGCATGGAGGCAGTTGTACCCGCCATGGCAAAGGCTCTGGTTCCCCGGCGGGGTCGATCCATCATTGCCGGCTGCTCCAAACCTGGAATGTTTAGGGTGTTCTCCTCCTCTTCCTCATCTTCCTCCTCATCTTCCTCCTCGCTGCTCTGCCCCAGCATGTCCCCCCTCCTCAGGTCATCATCATCATCTTCTCCAACTGTGTCGTCATTCTCGGCCTCGTTCTCCTCGTCGTCCTCTGAGTCTCTCTCGTTGTCATGGCAGTGACCGAAGATGGTGGCTGTCTCTGTGGCGGTTGCTGATTTGCCCTCTGATCCCTTTGACACGTTTAGGGTCTGGTTATTTAGGTTGACTTCAACAATGATCTGGTCTCTGTTGAAGGAGTTGTGGCCATCTGCAGTCTTCGACTCCCCATTGCTTTCAACTTTGCATAAAGCAGCCACACCCGTGCTAGCTCCACCCCCTGACCCATCCTCTTCCTGGTAATACTGCTTCTGCTGGGAGGTCGTCTTGCCGGCCTCCTCCACTCTAACAGAGAATGGGCTGCTGCCTTCTCTCTTGTACACCCTGCCCAGCTCTGACTCCTGTTTGATCTCCGGGTACAGCTGGCTGGGGGGCATCGCTACGGCAGTTGGGTCACCGCTACCAAGCCCTTCCTGATTGGCCATATCTGCGCACGTGGTTCTCAGCGAGTGGCTGCTGATGAGGTCGCGGCAGGAGGCTGCGATGTCGCTCATCTGCAGCAGGGTAGCGGCGTTGAGCACGTCGCGGACGGTGCGGCTGCTCACCAGCAGTTTGGAGGTGTAAATGAAGTTGAGGATTTGCTGCAGGCCCTGCGAGGTAAGGGCGTCCAGTGACAGGTCCACCCGCCGCAGCTGTTTGCTTTGGGCAAAAAGAGAGTGGAAGAAAGGGCTGTAGGCTGCCAGCACGCCCTTGTGGGCCGGGAAGGTGCTGTGCTGACGCACCAGAACGATGTCGACGTCACACAGGTCAGGCTGGAAGAGGCGCTGCTCGTTCAACCTGTCCATCAAACAGGTGAAGTGCAGAGCCACATCCTCTACCAGAGAGAACTCAGCAGAGGGGAAGTCTGTGGTCTTCTCCACTATGAGCTGGAAGGGGAAAAGGCAGAAAAAAGGGTTAACATATAAAAAATTGGATAGTAAGCCAATTAAATCTCTACTGCAGCGTACTGCTGCCACCATGACAAAAAATATTTATTACTAGACATCAAATTATTCAGTTCAAGAAACTTTTCCTGTTATAACAATATATCACTTTATCATTTTATATCACAAAACTTTGATGTTATTTCACACAACCAGAGTTAACAAACTTGTCTCGTTATAACATAATAAGTTGGTATGTATTATATATATGTATTAGGCTGTTATTACTTCCATATGGTGTTAAAATGAGCCTAAAGTTTTTATGTATTATGGCTGTGGGTTGCTTTGATTCTGTTTGAGCAACTATGCCTAATATGTGTGTATTTGCTATCGGTGACTCAGTGACTCGGGTATGACACAGTGCTGCTTAGTGCAGTGTTGACATAACCAAACCACAGATGTTAAAGTATATCTGACAAGAATGGACATCTTCCACCCTCCCACCGCCACCTCCTGACAGCACGAGCAACATGCACAAGGCCAGGTACAGTAAGTGACACGAGGGATGACAGTGCGCTTAAATATGCATTCAGTTCAGTGCCTCTCTCTCATCAGCACCCTCTGCCTAAGACCTGTCTACCCTTCCTGGCCACACTGCACTGCATTTTTAACAACCTAAAATAAAGTTCTGACTACCACATATCCACCACCATCATTGCAGGATTGTAGACTCTGTACCTACAGTAGTAGAAATACCTACAGTATATAATCAGGCTCTGAAGGGGCATAGTGACATGGTGAAACCCTCTTTCTCAGTATCTCAGGGTTCATCAACGGGGAATTAAGAGGTGCCATTTCATAAACCTTCTTTTGAACAGACATCTTCTCTTTCAAGGGGATCAAATATGTGTGTGTCCTCACCCACAGAACTCAAAATGGATCATGAATGGGATCATTTAAAACTCAAGGTGAAACTGCTTGACGAGGGATCAGAAGTGTAGCCATGGGTCAGTACATAAAAGCCCATCCAGGGAGGGGCGTTGCAAACTATCTTAGGCTATAAATGCTGTGGTATTTGGCACCGGTAGATGCTATTTGTCCCTTTAAAAATAAGCATTAAAATAAATAATGGTTTGACAGAAAACAGGCTTAACAAGTTCTACTTACAAGCCTGTTTCAAGCTTTCGACCACTACTTCATCTGCAGATGGAGCTCCAGAAATAAGCTGTTTATTTAATTTTGGTTTGTTTGTTTTCGCCTAAATGTGCATGCTCAAAATAAAAAGTAATGAAAGAATAGCTGATTTCAAATCACATAACATTGTCAATATTCTGTAATGTAGTTGTGTTGTGTACTGCACAAAGTCACAAACTGCATGCATGCTGCACGATACAAGTCAGAGAAAAATCAAAAGGTGTAACACTCAGCGCTCTGTGCAAGGTCCTCAACTTCCCAAGGTGGGTTTATTTTAGCACAGGAAGGGCAGGGTTTCGATCCAGACGGGATGTGAGTGGGGACAGAGCAGCAAACAGAGCAAACACACACACACACACACACACACACACACACACACACACACACACACACACACAAAACACACACACACACTCACACGCATATGTGATGTGCAACCATGCACAAAAAAAACACACACACACACACAACAAACAAACACTGTCTGGTCTCTGCAAAGACCGACTGGTCGGAGCATTGGTATTCAGTGCCATCTTCCTCCCATTAGCCGGCTCTCTCAGCACACCCACTCACTACACTGTCCCTGAGGAATGGAGAATTATGCACAAGACAAAACACGTCGGGAGAAATAATTAGGGGAACCATGCCGAATAAATACTAACTAACCCTCCAAACAATTAATGGAATTTATCATTCTAGGCGTCTCTTGAAAGCAGAATAGGACAAGTATTGATATGAAACTTGTTTTGGCTGTTTGCATGTCTACATCTCTTATTTTTTTGTATTTACAGTTGTGTGCGCACAACAATTGATGGGACACATACAATAAATAAACAAGAAAAAGGGCAAGAGATTACATTAATAGTTAATTTTGGGGCAATAACCTTTATAACATTTATGTAAAACTTCTGTAGTAAATTAGTCTGAATCACACTACAAAGGCTGTTAATTGTTCTTTACATTAAAAATAATACTTTGCCTTTCTCTGCTGCCCAATATATTTTCTCTTTAAGATCAATGAAAATGACTTTTCATTGTTAAGGCTGGAAAATGGATTTGCATTTAGGCCTAACCTTGAAAATATGTCCCGTTTGAAGAATTCAATTATGGAGTGTTAGATTTATTCATAGTTTTGAGCTGCTAAATTGGACTCCAAGCCAGAGAAGAGTGGAGATCGGGTTATCTCCCTCCATTCAAGGCTACAGACATCGCCCAAGGGCAAAACACTGCAGCCTTAATCAGATCAAGTATAAGTTGCAGACTGGAAGTTATGCTCCTTTAGCGATAACGATCGGCTTCTTCTCCCGGGATTCAAATAGGACAACACAGTCATAGATTCAATTCTACAGGATGACAGATTCAACATCAATAGGATCAAAATAAAGGAAGCAACAATGATTTTAAAAGTTCTAAAAAGGTTCAATGTAGGGTGTATTTACATGCAATGTTCCTTTAAAATTCACTTTAATCCCTTGATGCTTATTTTTCTACCATTTATGGATTGCATGGGAATTCTTTAAAGGGTCTGAAAATTGTATCCTAGGGATTTGAAATGCAAAATAATGATCTTAGCCAAATGCACCTGTGAAACAGGACTCCAAATGAGTTCTCAAGTGATTTAACTACTGTCTTTAGGCTGTGTGGTGTTCAGAGTTTTACTGAGTGTGTGACGGGACATTTTTTCTATGTCGCCAGCTAGAAATGAGAAACCTGCTTTTGTTTGTTTCTGTGTAAAATTCAAGAGTAGGTTGTTTTAAAGATACAAATTCTGAATAGGTAAACCTGCCACAGTTAGCTACTGCTATATCTGGAAGAATCTATCTAGCTGCCTACGAAAATAGCTATGCTGCAAGCTAATAAAGTGAATACTAACTTACACATAGAACTTCAAACAAGTAAACTGTGCCTTAACAGTCTCAAAGTGCTTCTTTACTTCCATATTATCGAGTTATTCTACTAACTGATCAAATTCGAGAAGCCAATCAAAAATCAATACTTCATTCTCTGGTTGCTAAAATTGTGACCCATCGTAACACAAACTGCACCGAAATATATATTTTTTGCTTTTCTCTACAAATTATAAATCTTGCGCTTGCTCAGCATTATTATTAGCATCTACGTACAGCAAAAACCTTCAAAACACGGATGCTCTTTATGGTTTATCTGTACACTGCTGAATGACAGAGGGGGTTTCAATCAGTGAATACATTATTTTCATTAAGACAGACCCTTTAAAACAATTTAATCCAATGGCAAATAGTTGTGTTTACCATGCAGCTGCTGCGTCTGTCATAATATGCAATAAAGACGAAGCCAGCTCGTCATATCTCATTACATACTGTCGCCAAACGAATTGAGTGACAACTTTGCATTTAAAGACCACATCCAACTCCCTCCATCTTTCTCTGTCATTATCCCTCTCTCTCTCTCTCTCTCCCCACCTCACCTCTTTTCTCCCCCCCTTGCAAATGTCAGGGAGAGAGCTTGTTTGCTGTCATTAGAGGGAGCGCCACCTTTAACCAGCATCTCAGTCAGATGTCTCCCAATACATTATTCATATCTGGCCTGACCCGTGACAAACACGCAGCAGGGGGGATTACTGACGCACCCAACAAGAGGTGTCATTTAAACGGGCTTCAATCAAAGCTCTGTACACCCTTTCCAGACTCGTCTGCTAAAGACAACATGTGAGGGGATCCTGTTGCATTGTGGAAGCCTCAGAGGGCCTCTTTCACAAGGTAGCTCTGGAGGTTATGCGTTTTAAGCCAAGAACAATGTTATTATAGTGGACTGTGGCCTTTAAAGGACAGTTCTGCTTAAAGATTACAGAACAAAAACAGTATTTATGCTATAAAATCCTCTTCACTCTTTACTGTGTTCACACTGTTATTATGTGCTGTTATTATAAGGCAAAAGCTGTTAATGTTAGAAGGTCAGAATCACTTGCTGAGAAGCCACAAGGTCCATTTAGTAGATGTTTCAGAGCTTTTAATCACTCAACATGATTCTCATCAGCAGATGGAGTTGTATTGGAATTGAAGATGTTCAAATTTTAATTTTTCTGAGCACTTTAAGGACTTAAAAAGCAGATTTTTGACCTTGTAAAGAACTGACCATAAGGTCAATTTAGAAGCTGTTCTTCGGCTTTTTATCATGTGACATGTTCTTCAGCAACAACTAATCACTGATCCAACCAAATCAAATTTAGAGGGATGACACGCCCTAATTAAATGTCAAATTTACCAACTCTGAAAGGTCACAACTGACACAAAACTAAATCTAGCTCCTGTTAACTGATCTAATGGGGTTTCACTCACGTATGTGTCATAAAATCTGTCTAACTTTGGGGCACTGATGTATCTTGGGAAGATAATCAGACATTTAAAGTACATTTTCCTGAACCCCCTGACGGCAATGCTTTAATCAGAATTCTAAATTTCAAAGTTGGAAACTACTTTACTACTAATACAGTTTTGATGAAGCTGTGATGGATGATTCACAGGATTACCACTTCCACTCATTCATAAGAAAAAAAAGAAATGAACTGATGGCTGATGCTTTATTCATCTTCAGTGACAGTCAGACTCACCGGTCAATCAAACCAGAGTAACCGGTGAATCCTGTACTTGGCAGAGGCCCGACTCCTGGACCTGGACCTGAGCCAGACCGGAGTCTAATAATGAAATCCCTTTTTCTAATTTGACTTTCACTAGTGAGAATGACCTTTCTCTCCCACACCTTTGCACTGGATGGCCCATGTAGATTTACTACTCTGTAAAGTCTGCATCTCCATCTCTGTGCAGCTACAT